AATAACAGTTAGTTTTTCAATTTTAATCCAATTTTAATCTCTACCGAACACGCCCTCAGTGAAGTCAAATGTAGTAATGACTTGGTAACCTATATAACTTACTTATTAAGAAAAATTAAAGAAAATTTGTTCACATATACTAGCTTATGATGTAACACCACAATTTTGCATATATTTCTTAAGGGTTAAATGTTTCAGGAAAAAACTTTAGAGCTTGTCGAGGAAATTTCATTGAACTTAAAAATATTTTTTAAAACAATATCGAACTTTATGAAAACGCTCTTAATCCATCACTCGTTAACATTTCATTGGTTGACTTAGATGGAGCTGTGTACATAACCGACAAAATGCACACGTAACACTACTTTCCATCTAATTCCTCCAAGTGAAATCGTTCTGCAATAGCACCAAATTGTGTCCCTAAAGAATGCATCTTCTATTAATGACAATAAAAAACGTTGAGTTCAACCATATGAATAAATTCTCAAATTTAGCCACAAAATTTCTCTACCACCTTTCATTAATTTTCCATTTTTTCTAGTATTATTAAAATCGGATTTGACTAGTCAATCTGAAAAATTGGGAATTTGATTGAAATTCAATTTGATCACAATGTATAAATTGTCTGCTAAAAACACCTGTGAAATAATCAGTTATCGATCTATTAAGACATAAACAAATAAAGAAGTCGTGATTTTACCGATTTGCGTTATTAATTATAAATTGAAAAATATAAAAAATAATGAATTAATTTTTTTACTATAGCCCCACACACAAATTATAAAATTGTTTAGCTGCTTATCCCCGATCACCTAGGTCCTTTTATAAAACTTTATCTCTTTCATCCCAATTTCACAATGTGGAATCGTTAAACTTCAAATAACCCATTGTATCAATAAATATATTTTTATAATGTATAACCACATCAGGTGGTGGTGAAATCTACATCTTAAAATAGTATTTTGAATTAAACCATATGTACAGAAGAATGGTTCACAGAAGATTTATCAACTCTCACATGTGTGAAATCCACCTAAATAAAAAATGAAAAAACAAAAAAAAAAAAACCACCCCCCACAAACCATTCTTCTGTAAGTGTAACATACTGACATGATTGTAGTTAGATGTGTCAATTAGGGTGGGTCGGGCCGCCAACATATGAGCCCAATAACGGCTCGCGTGAAAAAAAATCCGCCCGCTACGGATTCCGGGCCGGTTCCGGATCGGCCCACAATTTTTAGACTACAATCCAGGCCCGCCCGCTGACCCATCTGGGTCGAGCCCATACGGTTCGCGGGTCGCAGATTGTTCCAAAAAATTTTTATATTGATAGCAAATTTTTTTTTTTTTTGTTAAATGTAAACTAAGAATTGAATAAAATGATAAATTCATATTTATACCAAAAAATGTTTACATAAAATTCAAATTTAATAATTGAAATTTAACAACTAAATGCATTTCTAATTACGTG